TTTTTTTTGTTTTTTTCCTTTCGGGCTTTTATATCCCCATTGCCTTCTTGCCTGAATGGTTTCTGTTGAGAGATCTGAGCTTAATCTGATTTGCTTGCCTTTGTATGTTACACTTCTCTTTTCCCTAGCTGCTTCTTTAGGATTCTGTCCTTAACTTTGATTTTGGAGAACTTGATTATTAAATGTCTTGGTTATTGACTTTTAGGATCTATCCTTCCTGGGGTTTATTGAACTTTTTGAATGCCTATTTTTTCACTTTTCAGGATGTTAGGAAAATTTCCTTCCAGAAACTCTTCAAATATCTCCTCTGCAGACTTGTGTGATTCTTCCTGCTCTGGAATGCCGATAATTCTTAAGTTATTACTCTTCATGCTGTCCAACATAAATCTTAGGACTCCTTCAGATATTTTTATCCTTTTTTTGTGTTTGCTCTTCTATATTAGTAGTGTTGAGAGATTTATCTTCTAGCTCACTAGCTCTGGCTTCTATCCTCTTAAGTTCTACTCCTTTGCCCTTTCAATGTATTGTCCATTTCTGTTATTCTATTATTAATCATTTGAACCTCTTTCTGAAGGTTCTGAATTGTTTCCAATGCTGTATCTATCTTATCTAATTTCCTGTAGCACTTCCTTGACTTCTTCCTTATTTTTCTCAACTCCATTGTAAAGTGTTTTGATACATTTTATAATCATTTTTCTGAATTCCTTCTCAGGCATTTGCCTCAGTCACTTTATCTCAATCTCATTTCTGGACACGTGCTAATATACTCATCTGCTTTTGTTTTTTTGGGCATACTCAGGAGTTATCTGTGGCCTTAATACTTAGATGGAGGTGTATTTTGGGGTTTTTTTGTGTTTTCTGATTGCCTCCAGGTAGATGAGATCAGGAGATGGGCTTCCCTTTTCACTCTTCTTCCCGAGAAATTTCAAGATGCCACTGTTGGTCATTGTAATGTAACTCAGGATTTAATTTTCAGTCTCTTTCCTTTTTAGTCTGCCTGTCACCTCTCCACAATTCCCGTCCAGGCCTTTTTCCTAATGATAAACAGTTCAGGGCCAGCTGTGGCTGTTTTGCACTGCTGTTTGG